GTGGTTCCTGCCATAGTTAGTCAGGAAGTATTGCCTGGGCACTGTAAAAATGAATAAGAATAAATAAGAAGAAAGTTAAGTCTTTTACCTCTTTTCTTTCATCAGACATAAAAAGACTTGGAAAACATTTTAAATGAGTCCTCTATGTTTTTCAGTAGTTTTGGTTCCCAGTTTTACTACAAAGCAAGAGAGAATTTTTTCAAAGTTCTGTTATTACAGAACACAATAACCTGATCTCGTCATAACTCACAATTGTGTAAAGAGTAACAATTCTAGAATAATGAAACAAATGTCATTGTTTTAATTTATTTTTGTGATTCTCTATGCAAATAAGTATCAGCTAAATTTTCAATGATAAATGCAACAGGATCTAAACTTGTAAACAAGTTTGCCCTTAAAATGAGGACATCTTAAAAGCGCTGAGTGCATCACCAAAAGTAAAAGAATTTATAGACACAGTAAACACTCAGGAAAGTACTTCCTCGCTTTTTTCCTCTTCCATTTGTGATCCCAAATGTAATAAGAGCAACATTCACAAATAATGCCTAGCTAGCTGCTGAAGATGCTTAAGGCACATGATAGAGCTCAAAGGACCCCGAAATATTTTATTGAACATAACCTTATTAATAGAAAAAAAAAACTTGTAAAAGAGCCATCAACATTAGCAGTCATACTTAAATCCCCAAGTAATCACTACTGCTCTAGGCCAAGAAACAGAGACTTTATTTTGAATAATTTGTAAGGCCATCCCTCAAAAGTAATGTAGGTTTAATAGTTTGGCTAGAGGGTACCTAAAAATGTCATCACAGAGCTCCTTTATGATCTGTAAACAGTGGGTTCACCATCCAACTCCATAGGACAGGCCATTTATTTCTCCTTGCATATGTATGAGGCCTATGTAACAAAACTCTAACTCTAACTCTAACTCTAACTCTCCCCCCCCCCCCTTCAGAGGCCCAGAGGAAATGACTGTGTAGAATTTTAAATCAGAAACCCAAGGCTTAGGTTAGTAGTGTCGGGTTAAAGGCTTGCCCATCTCCAAAGCTAATTCGGTTCTCCACAGTCCCATGGGTGTCTAGCTGAACAGAAGGAGCTAGGAAACCTTAGCAGGCCGGAGCCCAGCCTGGGGAATTGCTGGGACTCCGTGCCAGGGGCTGAGGCTCACCCCAGACTTGGTATCAGATAATACCAAGTGCTAGTCTGGATTTCCAGGACTAATCCACTGGAAGGTGGGACTTCCAGGTTCCTCAGAGTCTGTGCTGTCAGTGAGAGGACTGTGGACTTTCTAGATCTAGGCTGTACCTGGCTAGTATTACATTTAATAATAATAAAAAAAAATACATTCAACGCAGGGAACGGTCCATAAATAACAATAGTTTATGCTTTAAAATCTTTTAGTCATATTGTTGGGGGGGAGTTGTGGAGGCAAAGAGGAACTTAAGAGAAAGACAAACATTCCCATTTTTTATGGATTCAGAGCTGGCAAACTTCTTTAAAATTGTAACCTGCACTTTTTAAATCTATTTACAGGTTCTACAGATTTTTAAAACAACACATCAACAGTGGCTTTCACCATTGTTGTACTTATTCAGGACACCTCTTGGGCTTTAAAAACAATTCACTCCAGCTCATTCCCCTGTCTCATCTTTTCCTGCCTCCAAATTACAAATACCACTTTTTTCAGATAAGACCAACTGCTAAATGGGCCCCTATATGACTTCTTAAAACCCTGGGACAGTCTATCAGGTGACTTTAACCGCTCAGTATGTTTTAACTGTGACAGAACCCTGTTTCCAGGAAAAGAAAAAAGAAAAAAAAACTTTCATCACACATAAACAAAAAAAAAAGCTTATCATTATAACTGGGATTTAAGATTGCCATTGTCCTGTATAATAAGTGGAAATTAACACTAATTTTTACCCAAGTCAATATTTATTACATGTAGACACCACTTGCAAGTTTCTCCAAGAATCACTTAGCAAGCCCTGGGTTACTGGGACTGAACTGCAAAATACAGCGTTTGCCCAGAAACTGCTCAGTCCAAATGAAAATTGATTATAAAACAAGAGTAAACCGTCCCCACACAACAGGAAGAACACATCCACAAAAACCCATTTAATGCAAAGGTAAGTGTGAAAGCTTGGCCAACTAAGGCTTCCCTACTAAAAAAAGGGCAGGGGGGAGTAGAGGAGGCACATGGACTGTGTTTCCAAAGGTAAACTGTTTCTTACTTTGGGAAAACTGACTTTTTGTGAGCGGAAGAGGGAGGCGATTTTTTTAAGGGAGTAGAGAACAGTATTCAATTAAGAGAACAAGACGCGAGAAGCCACTCTCTGCACACAACTTGGTCACTGGCACCGGCGCGCGGGAGAGGCCCACCAGGCTTCCGAGCTAAAATGGAGCCTGAATTTCCTCTCAGACGAGAGGGTAGCCGCGGAGGTCAGGGTCAAGGTCACCGCCAGGGCAGGCTGCAGCTGCCCGGCTGCGCCGCGCACGAGGGGAGGGACAGCGATCCATCTCCGTCACTGCCCGAGCAGATAAATCCCTTGTCCTCTCCCACCCTCCCTGTAACCCCGCCAACGTTTTCCTTTTTCTTTTCTCTTCTTGCTTTTTTTTTTTTTTTTTTTAAAGAAGGGGGAGAAGAGAAGAAAGGAAAATGACCACGTAGCCTCACCGCCCCGGCTTTCGCACACTGGCTCATCAGCTCCCAAAGTTGCCATCTAAGGGCAAGTTCGCGGAGAACACTGAAGCTCATTTTGTCCGAGCAGGGCAGGCCTCCCCCGCCACCCCGCCCGGCCGGCGCGCCCCGGGGGAGCCGGGCGCCCCGGGACGGCCGTGCACGCGCGCTCTCCCACCGAGTGCCGCGAGTTTTCTGTGAATCGCGGCAGAGCCTCCGCTCGCCCTGCCCGCCTCCTCCTCTTCCTCCTCGCGCAGAATTGCCCTGCACACGCAGCCGCCTGCGAGTGATTTTCTGTGCATATGTATTACATATGTGATCCGATCCTCAGAACCTCTAGCGGGCAGGCGAAGAAAGGACTGCACAGGGGCATTTTTATTTTTTATTTTTTTTAAAGGAAGGGGAAAAAAAGCACAAACCCAAGCCCTGTGCGTCGACTCCCAGTGTACCGGGAAAGGGAAAGAAAGAGGAATGTTTGCGGAGCGGACTGCCTCGAAAGTGCCCTTGCTCGCCAGTCCGGCCGCGGCCCGGGTGACACGAGCGGCAGGGGCAGTCCGCGCCCCCTCTCGGGTCCCCCCGGCCGGCACCGCCGCGGCTATTTCGCGAGGGGGAGATCGATCGCTCGCCTGTCTGCAGCGGAAACACACGCGCGCGCGCACACACACACACACACACACACCGAGACACCATAACCTTAACCCTTCCCCCACCCTCCGTGAACTTCAGGTGACCGACCACGTCGGCCTGACACCCGGCCCGGCGGGCGCTCCGGCTCCGCTCCCGCCCCCGGCCCCGGCCCGGGTTTTGCAGGATCGGGCTCCCAGCAGCGCCAAGCCCGCCGGCGGCGCAGGGGGGAGCGGGAGAAATTGACCCTGCGTCTCCCCCGACCCCTCCCTCCCTCCCTCCGGCGCCTCCCGCGTCCCCTCCTCCCGTCACCCCGCCCCACGCCTTCTCCCCTGCCCCCTCTTCCCTGCATTCAAGGAGCCGGGCGGCCCCGGGGGATATTTTTAGTTGCTTCTTTCTCCTTCACTTTTAGCTTTAGCAGCATCTCGGAACACTCACAGCGGAGAGAGAGAGGCTGGGGGGGCGCGGGCACCCGAGAGGGAGTGGGGGAAAAGTTAAGAGTCTCGCAAAGAAAAGCCGGAGGGCGGGCGGAGGGGGCCGGCGCGGTGGAGGAGGGGCAGGGGACCCGGCCGGCCGGCGGGTGTGTGTCTCCAGTTGGCGTGCGTGGCCGCCGCCGGGGAGGGCTGGGATGCACTTTAGTCCTGGACTCTGCTCGGGCTCGCCGGGAAGGGGGGTCTGGGAGCCCGAGTCTCGCCCGGCTCCGTCTGCTCCCACTGACCCCGCATTTGATTGCGGCCAGGAGCCCTGCTCCTCCTCCCCTCGCTCGGCTCTGCAGGGACCTCGCGCGCCGCGAGCCGCCCTGCCTCCTGCCTCCGCCTCGGCGCGGCTCCCGCACCCCACATCCGCCCGCCGCGGCGCGGCC